TTTAGCCTTCGTGTTGTTAAGAGCTTTGCGGTGAGTGACGATGATTGAAAACAGACAGAAGTGACCTGGTGACTGGCAGCAGCTTTTCAATTTTTTACTTTAGATGATGAAAGTAACTCAGTGAGTCTCAACTGGAGATCATTTAAAAATTTACTGTATAAGAGAAAATGCCCGCACGTGTTTAACCTTTGAAGCTATGTAGCTGTACTTTGTATTGACCTACTCCACGTTTTTAAATCAAATTTACATATTATATACCGAATAGCCAAGTTTTATGCCAAAATTATTCAAAGAATATTACAGCGGGAAACTGTAAGATTTGTGTTATACCTACAATATCGGTTTTAAATCCGTAAAAGCTATATTTTAGCATAATAAGAATAGAATACCATGATCTTGCTTACCTGCCTGCTTTAGATGCCAGTACAGTAGTTATTTCGATACACTAATTGCAGCTAGTTCGTTTACGTTATACTAGTGGTAATATTTTGATATTAGTTTGTTTATTTACGTCATTACTTTCACTTATTAAAAAATTTTTCAGTATTAAAAAGTAATATTAATAATTAAGTTAATTAAATTATGTTATCCCCTTTAATACAATATACTATATAATAAAAAGCACATGTTTACATAAATTATAATGTTTTAAAACCAATGTACACTCTATTCCATACATTACGTACATCCATGGCGTATAAGCAACATTCTGTTAAGCGAACACGACTCAGCTGCATATAAAAGAAATTCAGCAAAAAAATTTTTTGAGAAGATGTGTACGCACACGTGTCCACAATTCACACATACGTAAATACGTTTTTGTTCAAACATACATTATGGGTATACATGTCATATTATTGGGCTGCTTTTTTTTTAAATTAATTTTATAATATATTCTAAAAAACGCTGTTAATATGTAAAGTGAACATTTTCATTAACATTTCACTGCAAGTCTAGCAGTAGTCTACATTTAGAGCACATAATAAAACTACTAAATGAAATGATAGTAAAACTAGGTTTTTTCCCTGTATTCACAAACGTAATCCAACTTTATTTCTAACTCTTTGCTCTAAGCTTACATTTTCAAGTGAACCACACCTCGGAGTTATGAACTTCAGCTTTTTAGTGGTTTCTTAAGGGAACTACTATTCTTCAGAATCATTTAAAATTTAATATCCATTTTTTGTGTAATTTCATTTTAGGCGCAAATGTACATTTTATCTACACCAGAACAGATTTTTTGTTTATATAATGTGCGTTAAAGCTGAGATGGATTCATTCGCGTACAAGTATAGAAGAAAGTCAAAAGAAAATCTCATTGACAGGTTGTTACAACTGTAACCAAGACATATCCATAATCAACTGCGATACAGACAAATAAATACACGTATACAAACACATGCACACACACGCTCTCACAGACATTGGCTCTTGACACTTTTGCCAGAACCATAAACAACGACCGACCATTGTAAGCGAAGTGAATACTGGTGTACTTACTATATACAGTTACATTTTTGTTTTATTTGCCATCAGCAATAATAAAATCAATACAATAACGCATCAGAAAGCAACGAGGCAAATTAACGTATAGAATATTCTTTATAATACATTCATATACACTGATAACAGCAGATACTTATATGAAAAATTTCTTCGTATTTTATGTAGTTTTAGTATCGCTGGCTATAAATCCCAAAAATTTATAATTCGTTTATACATACACTTAATCTGGAGAAGATCTCATGAAATCTCAAATTTTAATTATTTACATTTAAAACTATAGGTTATCTCTCGAAGTATTGCAGTATTGTGGTGTATTTAGCTGTCTTACAAAAGTGATCCTATTTTTAATTTTTGATGGATTGTTGTGATTGAAGTCTGAAAAAAATATACCTACATTTATAATACATCAGCGGAGCGCACAGTGAGGCAAAAGATGATGTGAATGGAAATAATTAAATAATATTTCGTAACTAAATGCATTGTTGTTAACTCTATTGATACAAGACAATACAGTCTAATTTGATCATGTGAAATTGCTTCCAAAGAAATGCAAATGTTTTTTCAATCCCATTTTAACTTAATTTATTTAGCAGTTCAAAAACTCCCTACAAACATAAAATGGAATCCAGTTTTTTGAGGAACATTTAAAATTTTCATTACAAATTTTCTGTTTTTGATTTTCATTCATAAATTTATTAAATTATTTCGACTCACAACCATTACTCAGCAGTTTTGCTTAAAAAGTTTAAAAACAATTTTAATTTCGATAACAGAAGCTTCGATTTATTCTTGTAGAGCATGCGTAATACGAGGAGAGATTGCAACAATAGCAATAAGGCAGCAAAAGCGATAACAGCTGACCCGCTAGTAAGAATTAAGTCTCACTTGAGCTGTAGGCTCTCCTATGTCAATATTTACCTCTAGCTAACGATGGATCACCGTACAAACACACATACATTCATCAGCAAACCAATAATACAACCTCAATGCTATTTTATTGTTTTATGACAGCTTCTTGCATACCTCTGCAGCACTACGTGACCTCTAGACTTCCAATCGTTTGATGCAATCACTGTTTGGATAAGTCGTACATAGTAGAGCCGTGCTTGCGGATATTGCTTCATGAAACGTGACGTTTAAAATGTTCGCTGACTGTAAAATCATCGCGAATATTGGTGTAATAAGTGATCCGAGTGTTCGTCTGCAGTGTTGCCAGATGAATGCTTTTATGTATTTGTGTGGAGTAAGACTAATGTGTGAAGGATTGTGAAATTTATTTGAGTTAGGAAAATAGTAGCTTAATATTATATCATATGTTTATAGGATAAGTAAGCCAAAATTCCAAAAATTCAACATCGAAGTTTAATGAGACAAAAGATTATTGCGACTATCTTTAGCTAGTGCTGGGTTCAAACATGTTTCGAGAAAAATTTTATACTTTTAAAGCGTAGTTTTCTAGGTCCTCTACACAATATCAAAATACGAACAATATTGAAAGTGTCAATCGCGTTCAAAAACAAATTGGAAGACCCTAACTGTGAGTTAGAAATGAAACTATATTGCGGGTGTCAGATATAAGTTTTTAAGGAGAACATAATTGCAAAGAACAAATACTAATAATTATATTAAGGAAATTGTAATAAAAATTTTCAACAAGTGGCAATTTCCTTCAATGATATTACAAAATTATTACATATTTTGTAGTGAGACTTAATCTTTCCAAATAGGTAGAAACCCTTTTAAAAAAAAAAAACGCCTAAAACTTGTTTTTCCTTTTTCTATTTTGTTAACACCACTACTTACTTGACACTTTCAGCACTGAGATTAAATAAGTATCAGGAATGAAAGTTTTTTTTTTCTTAAAAAAGTTCACAAAATGTATTATTTTTTTTCTAATTCTACAAAAGTAATTCGAAATCACTCTCCGGTCGCATACCAGAAGAGAGGTAGTAAAAAACAATATATATTGTATATATAAAATATAAATCGATTAAAAGACGAGGTTACTCGCGCGCCAAAAGAATGCCCGCAGTTGTTGGTTGTTCTAAAGTCGATGTGAGAAGGGGCTGTCCGCTTCGAGGACAGCTGTTTTGTTTGGTGAGTAGAGATCCTACTGTGTGTGTGTATACGGCTGCTTCCAATAGTGTAGTGCATTGGTGTGTGGGTGTTCTGCTGTTTCCAGGTGTGGTGTGTGTGCCAGTGTTGTCTTGTGAGGGGTGTGTTGTGCGGTGTATCTGAGTTCTTCAGGGCGGGAATCTTAACTCACTAAGCCACTATTCTTTTAAAAAACAAAATTTTAAAAAATTTAGAGTAACTTTAAAATGTTTTCACTCGTTTTTTTCTCATATTGAACTAAAGGTGTCTTTCTAACTTTTAGCCCCTAGATTTAATAACAAAGAAGCTTTAAAATTAATTGAATCTTGACCAAAAACAGTTATTTAAAAAATTTCTATATCAGAAATTTAGTTTAGTTTTGCATTTACATTTAAAGCCGCTAAGAAAGAACATTTTGCTCTTGGAAGTAAAATAAAATTAAGCAACAAATACATTAATTTCAAATCGTTGATTTCGGTTTCGAATAACACCAATCAACTACCATAAATACAAACAACACAATCCAATTTGAGTGCAAAAACTCGAAAATGCACTCAACTGAACTCAACTCTGTCGTTATCCTCGAGCCAATATAATCAACTCAACTCTAGTTGACTTTAGAAAAAGTGTGTTTAATCTAAATCAATGGAGGCGACATCTTATATGTAGCATCTATGCGTACTATTCACATGAGTATGTGTTATTAACTGTGTCAGAGGTTGAGAATTCAAAACGCTTTGTAGGTGCCTTGCTATTACATAAGTTTGTCTTACATTAGCAGGATAAATGCAGTCGAAATCGAACGGTTATCCAACTATCACAACAACAATTACAATAAAAACGTATGTAAATTTGTATGCAAAGACATCGGATAGCAGTAAAAGTATAATTGTGCAACAATTTCAGACGAAGAGCAGAGACAGTTACTTTCCAACTGCTCCCGGGTTCTTTTTTTCGACCTCACTACAACTTGCCAGTTAGTCTTTTTCTCCAATTCTTTTCGATTTTATTATTTTGGTATTTTCCTTCTATTTCTGTATTTTTCTTCACAGGCACTGCACTGGTGACGTTGGACATTGTGGCGCTTCGTGCTTCTTTCTGTTACTATTCTAATTTTTTTTTTAATACAAAATTGGGTTCACTTTACCAGTGCTACTGCTTCGTCATTTTTCACTACGTACATATTTAATTATTTGCTTTTAATCAAACTCAATAAGATTTACATGTGCTTAACTGCTTCCATATCCCGTCGCCTTTGAATTTGTATACCCAAAAACATTTACTGAATAGATTATGGAAAATCTCAAAATAACCAGGTAGCATCTGATTACAACACCGATTTTCGAACAATGAAAAAAGATACAATATAAAAATTTAGACAAGTTGCGTATTGGTGTATTCCTTGCCACTTTAGTATAATATTGTACCTCGAAAAAATAGAATATAACTAACATCCCCTTAATCTACCAAGCTTTTCGCCCTAATTTAATTATGAAATTTTATGAAATACATATTTTTTGCTATTGTCGCTTAACAATTTATATATATATATAAGCAGCTTCAACGGATTTTTCAATCATTTCCATCAATTACCAAGTATTCGTATACATGAGACAAATCCTTGCGCCATTTTTATTCCTTTTTATCACCATCTGCAGTTTTGTGAGCTCTTACATATCATATACAAGTATGTAGGCGTACGTGGTTAGGCGCTTAGCGTAACGAGTCCCCGGAGTGTAATAGTAGCTGAATATAGTGTTTTTATGGGTGACATCTTCACATGGCTGAAGGTCGAGACGGAAATTTCGCTTATTGCGAGTTTTTGCGTGAACAGCTGTATAAATGTAGGCATTTCAACACAACTGAAATGGACAATAACAGCATTTTTACAACTTACTTGTATAACTCTGTGGCACTGTATTGATATTGATGTAATTGTTTATATAAAAGAGCAATATTAGCGATGACTTGTAGCGGTACTAAAATAACCCACGCCTATTAATTTGATAATGAAATGCTTTCATAGGATTGTATTTCAGAATTCCGAATGTATTCAAATTTTTAAAGTGACACTTCTTTAGTCACGCTACAAGAAAGTATATATATATTTTAATCAAAATATATGCAACAAGATCAGCAATAGGGATTATAATAACCAAAACAAAGAATATCACCTAAATGTAATGTCTGACAGAATTTGTTTGTAAAATATTAAAAATTTAATGAATGAAGTTACTGTGCTTACTACAACTACATTTTTATTTCAATATTCATTCTTATCAATTTTAGAATCGAAGTTCACCCTACCTGAACGCAATTATCATTCCAGATATTCGAAATTAGGAAAATTTAACGTTTAATTTAATACTTTCAATTAAAATATGCCATATCGAGGCATGGCCGCACATTTGAAACTCGATAAAACAGAACATTAACATGCTTTCAATATATCTAATTAATTACTGTGAGGAACTCCAGCAGCAGCTGAAATATGGTAAATCAAATAAAACATGACACGCGAAAATTCAATTAAACACAGCAGCAGCACTAAATTATTTCGACAAAGAGTGTAGAGAATATATATATTGTATTAAAATTAAAGTAACTGTCACGGGCATAAATGAGAAGAGCAATAACAATGTCATTTTAGCGACATTAATTTCTATCTTCTATTTGTTTATTCAATGCGCCACAAATGAATTTTTAGTGATCGTAAAATGTATATCATATCTGCAGGCACTTTGCGTTGGTGCACTTTATTAGTGGGTCCATATGTTTTACAAAGAATTGCAATTCATTCACACAGGTCAATTTAACATTGTCGTCCATGACTGAATGCAAAATATTAGATGAGCGTACGCGATTTCTAAGTAAAGTTTCCAATAATATAATTAGTATATTTGCATAAAAGCACATTCTGTGCATAGTTATGTGTATGTGAATATTGACCATAGCATTTTTCCAAAACTTCAGCAATGATTAGCTTTTACAGTTAGATAGAAGTTAATTATGAGGAAGGAAATGTATTGAAAGAATGTTTCCTCTGCATTAATACTTTTGTAGATTTGATAAATGGCTCATTTGAATTGTCATTTAGCAGACAAGACAGAAAATGACAAATGTACTATGAATAGTGCTTTAACCACGTTCATTTGCTTATTATATATCTTTAAGTGAAAATACTCAAAATTCATTGCATACAGGAAAAAAATGTAATTGTATTTTCTTCAGTTGTTCTTCGTGTAAGGATAATATGATTTGAAAATGTGCAGCTTCCTTCGCAATAACCTTCTATGAGCGAAAGTAGTAATTAAAAACGCAGATATGCTCGGAAGAATGCGGTACCTTCGAATTATTACTTAAAAAAAAATGTGGAAAACGGTTGGCCTCAAGGGCCATCCCTGCAACTTCCCTCTAATTTCATACGCTAACGTTCAAATTTCGCTTTTTTCACTGCTTTTGAGCTCTTCGAAATTTTTCGTTTTCGATATCTAGCAAGTAAATCAACCGATTTCGACCCGGTTTGCGGCAAACGATGTGTTTCTTCAAGGTTTAGAACTGGTTAGTTTATGGTGTCGATCGGTAAAGTCGTTTGGAAAAAATTCGAAAAAAACGATTTTTCAAAATTTTTATTTTTGAGATTTCTCGAAATCTACTTATCCGATTGGGTCCAAACTTACACGAAATTCAAGTGCAATGAAACCCTTTGGAATGCCGTTTAGTTTATTCAAATCGGTTGAGCAGTTTAATAGTTATAAGAGGGTCACATACATCCACACACACACACATACATCCACACATACATACAGACATACGGACATCATCGTAGAAATGTTCGGGGAAGCTTCCTCGACCCTCAGAACGTCGAGATCTGTTGAGAACTCGATTTTTGCAAAATGGGGTGAAACCAATATCTTCCCGATTTTTAGAAAATTTTCCATTTTCTTAGCGGGAAGTTAAAAATGTTTTGATTAATAAATGAAATAGCCACAAAGGAATTGCTAAATACAATCCTGTTTTTATGAGAATGTGTGAGGGTGTTTTTTACCTTTATTTTAATATAAGTGATTTCCTTCGCTCTTTGCCAGAAATGATTTTCTGCCGCCGCTTAAGGTATTTTATTTTTTATTTTGCTCTTAACGGTATTATAAACTATATCATTTGAAAAAATGCTTGTTTGACAAATGCACTATTGATCATTATTACCATAATTACACATATTCATACGCAATTAATTAACTTGTTTTGGATATTATAGACTCGTTGAGGTTGTTATTCGCCATTTTTGAACAGGGTTGGTATTTGAAACAACATTTTGCCAAAAGAAAACTTTGTTTACTGTAAGATTTTCTTTTTGATGACATTAAATGGAATGTGTTTTGTAACATATTGTTTAAATACATATATCATTTAGTTTCTACAATATTCGCTAAAAATGGTTTCTATGACGGTGTTTCCTTAGATGGTATATATAACTTTAACTAAAAGAATAAACAGAGATAATTGTGGTTGCATTAAACATATTTTTTTCATTCCTATTGTACATTAAATGCAATTTCATCAAAAATTTTCGATGTATAATCCAACGAGACTAATTATCATTATATATATATAACGCTAAGTCAACAGTATCTAATTCTAAGTAAAATATAATCTATAAATCTCACTTTGAAAACTCAACAATAAAACTAACTACAATAATATAAACCCTTAATAGACAATTAAAAAACATTTTGTATTAAAATAATTGAACAATTGTAAAGTTTGTTTGACANGCATTTTCAATAAAACAGCATAAGCCAACAACTCAATGTACAGAATACTACAAATTTCCAAGAACTTTTTGTAGCAATGTTACTATGTATAGCTGGTATATCTACATACAGGTATGTGCATTGCATACTGCCAGTCATACGCCATGGTGACCTGTCAAATTTTCTGATAATTTCACTTACACTTTTGCTACAATTATATTTATTGACGTGACCCAGTTACCAAATAACAACAGAATTATTGGGAAGCACTGTGTTTGACGTCCAATCGCAAAATAAGTTTGTTTCTTATTCGTTATAACTTAAGAGCTGGGTTAGGTCAGATTAGGTTAGGTTAGAAGGTCGATCCTAAGAAGGATCACACTTGGACAGATTAAACGCCGGTCCGTTGCGCTACCTATGAGCTGGATCAATAGACCCTCAAATGCTGACAAAGCGCTTTGTGCCTATGACAAACTTGTTGAGACGCCTTCTGGTCTGCCGAAAGTGTGATTGCGTAGATGTTTTAGTCTCAGCCTAGCGAAAGTGGAGGAGAAAGTGCCGGGATGCTTTCAACTCACCCTCCTCCAGACAGCTTTGACAGCTAACATCAGGTAGTATTCTAAGCCGCACTGCATGAGTTCCCATTGAACAGTGTCTAGTGAGAACTCCCACCATAGCGGCGAGATAAACTTTGTTCAAAGCGAGAATATAACCCGACCTCCTGCGATTCACTCTCAGCAAGAAAGATTTCGCAGTCGCGCAAGAGTTGGCCATCGACCAGCGCCTGCTGAGTGCATGCGACCTCCATTGGGCCAGAGCCAACTCGATCCCATTCCGATGTGAGCGGGGCAAAGGTGAATCCCCTGGCTAGCTCATCGGCTTTGGAGTTGCCAGCGATTCCGCTGTGGCCAGGCACCCAAACGAGTCTGATCTTGAAGTAGGCTGATACTAATTCTAGTGAGAACAGACACTCCTTGACTAGCTTTGATTCGCGTACTCAGGGCTAGTATTGCCGCTCTGCTGTCGGAGTGAATGCTCACCTCTCTAAATGAGGCTGCGCTTCGTAGGAGTACTTCTACCGCCACCTCTATTGCAGCCACTTCCGCCTGAAAAACGCTACAGTGGTCCGGTAGCCTGATGCTTAGATTGACGGAGAGCTCTTTAAAGAAAACCCCCCCTCCGACATTTCTTCCTAAATTCAAGCCTCGAGTGGCCACAGTGGCGCAGTGATCCAAATTTTCGGGAATGCAGCTGAAGGAGGAGAGAATTGCGAACCTCTTCATAAGCCCAGCTTCTCTGAGCCTTATAGCACACTTCGCAGCAATGCCCCTGTCGGCAATATCCACAGGTGCTATGTTTAAAATAGCATTAGGAGCTATATATATTAGGTCAAATAAAAAGTTCGTTCGGTTTTTATCTAAGAAATGGCGTTATTGTCCATAGTACTAGTGTTACGTGTCGCATCATGTCATACTGTACGGCGCTGAAAACGTGTTTATTCGCGCTAAAAGTTTGTCTTTGACAGTTTTTCGATTGATTTACTTAGTTCGTTGTGAGCGCTCGTCAAAGATGGACACCAACATAGAGAATTCGCTATATTTTACAATGAAAACATTAATTTAGTTTATGGGCCCGATACTGTAAACGAGCGTGTATCACAAAAGTGATTTGCTAGGTTCCGTTCCGGTAATTTTGATGTCAAAGATGCACCACGCGTCGGGAGGCCTGTCGTCGTAAATTGCGATAAAATAATGGAAATAGTGGAAACAGACCCTTACGTGAGCACTTATTTAATTGCTAAAGAAACAAAGATAAGCCAGAAAGCCGTTTGGAACCATTTGCATAACCTTGGATTCAAAAAGAAGCTCGATGTTTTGGTGTCACACGAACTAACGCAAAAACATGATGGACCGAATTTCCATCTGCAAATCGCTGCGGAATCGCAACAAAATCGACCCGTTTCTGAAGCGGATTGTGACTGGCGATGAAAAATGGGTCACTTATAACAACATCGAGCGCAAACGGTCGTAGTCAAAGCTCGGGGAAGGGGCCCATATGGTGGCCAAGACCTGATTGACGGCTAGGAAGGTTTTGCTGTGTGTTTGGTGGGATGGGCATGGAATCATCTACTGCGAGCTGCTCCCCTATGGCCGAGCGTTCAATTCGGCCCTCTCCTACCAACAACTGGACCGCTTGAAGGCAGCACTCATCCAGAAGAGGCCATCTTTGATCAACAGAGGCCGAATTGTGTTCCATCAGGACAACGCCAGTCCACACACGTCTTTGGTGACTCGCCAGAAGCTCCTGGAGCTCGGATGGGAGGTTCTAATGCACCCACCTTATAGTCCGGACCTGGCAACAAGTGATTACCATATTTTCCCGTCCATGGCGAACGCGCTTAATGGTGAGAAGTTGGCCTCAAGAGAGGCCTGTGAAAATTTGCTCTCCGAGTTTTTGGCAATAGGGACGCAGTCAGGGGTATAATGTAGTTGGC